AGTATAAAGTGGTACTTTTTTCTTTTGAAAAAAAAAAATCACAAATGTGCATGGTCACATTCTTCCCAGATGAAAGTCTTCTCTTTCATGAGATCACTAAACAGAATAGTGGCCTGGAAAGAATCAGGACAGCAGTATTCTTCAAATTTCCATTACTCTCTTTCTGTGAAATGGGATAATGTGTTTTATTACTACCTTACATTTTTACTCATTATTGTTGCCATTAGATCTCTGAGACACAGAAGCAGTAGGATTTTCATTTACTGAGACTATTCTGATGTATTCTCTATATTGCAAACATACTATGGACATTCTGCCCAGATGGCACACAATGGAATTTGCCTTTTTCTTTATAACAATCAAAAGCAACCACACTCGTTTTTTAGATTAAGCGTTTGACAGTGACTCCTTTCCTTTCAAATGCATTACCTTGTGAGGAAGTGCAATAAAATATTAGAACACACACAATAATGATGTGTGCACCAATTAGCAATTGCTAACTTAAAAAAAAAATATTGTGCAAGTTGTAAAAATAAGATGCAGACACATGGACAAATGTAGACCACAACAGAAGATTAGTTTTCCTGTATGCAGTTAAGAGAAAAATGATTGAGCTCTAGTTTTTAGCTACACTTATCACACATATTTGGTGACACTTCTCCATAGCACCTCCTCAAATAAGAGAAACATGCATGATGCAAGAATTGCTCAAGATAACCTACAGTTTCTAATTTGGTACCAAAATGACGAATCCATTAAATTGAGTTGCTTACCACATCGGTAAGCAACTCAATTTAATCTAAGGTTTTCTGGAACCTTTTTATCCTCAAAACCACTAGGTAAATCTACGTGATACTCTGACTCCCTGTAACTTGAAGTGTGGCCTGTGGTCTAGACACATCTGCATCACCTGAGAGGCACTGGTTAGGCTTATAATTTCTGAGTCAGTTTGGATCACAAAGCTGCACTTACACTAGTACAATCCATAAGCCTTACTTTTAAATCTTCTCTTCTTCAAGTCATCCAGGTGCCTTTTAATCAAGAAAGAAAAATCACACTTAATAATCCTTTTCCAAGATTAACCAAAGAATTTATATGCATAAATGCATAACCCATGGTCACAGATTCAGAATTGATTTATATCAAGTGAAGAATAGTAAATTACCATCCCCATCATACAGGAATAAGATGATACAAGTGAGCTTTATGAGACTCAGCGATTCTCACCAAACAGGGACCGCTCAGGCCCTCTGGGTTCTTTAAGGCACCTCTGATGCTATGAGGTCTCTGGGCAGCCATTGGTGCGGTGATGATACTCGCACTGTTCATGCATGCATGTGTTTGTGAGGTCATGGGGTTCACTGAAGGCTGCTCAAGGAAGGCTGAGTGTGGATGGGATTATATTTTACCTGAAAGTCCTGGAAGCCTTCAAAATACCAAAGGAATCACAAAAAAGGAGCACAGGAATGATTGCCTGTGATACCACAGTCCCAATACCAACAAATCATAACAAGGACCTGTTCTATGTAGTTACATGTCCACAGAATCAGAGAAATTACATGAAGGAAGTCTCACATGATCCAACATTCAGATCAACAGTGGCATTCGCTCATTGTTGAGTCCCTGCTGGCTCAACATGTACAAATTTCAAGACATCTTTATGTCTTCACCAGAAGAATATTTTTTAAAAAGAAAAACAATAACATACAATGGCAACAACAAAAAAACTTCAATTGGAAGAATTCTTTAGCTGGGATAGTGGGTTCTACAATCCCACCATTATCTGTTCTTGTGCAGGGCCAGAAAAAATACTGTCACCAATTTAAGAGAGTAACAGTCTTGTTTCATAATGAATTTATGCCAAAATAGTGAATATGCCATTGTCTTTTGTTTTTGTTTAGTGAAAGTGGGATTTAAAGTCTAGACGTGGGCAGAAGTGAGGACACACACAGGAATACCTAATGGGTGGTTTTAGTCTCAACAGGATACAAATTATTTTTAAGAACTCTGAGTACAGCCAGGGCTCTCAGACAAAGTGACTCTGGTTCCTGACATCGACTGTGGAAGCATCTAAAGGAAAAAGCACACAGTCTTTCATGCTATTGCTTGCAATTGGCTATAGAAAGCAAAATGCTTATTCCTAACAGACAAGGAAGATCTTGCCCCCATCCCCAGCACAGAGTGGCCACTGGGGTTCATTTCTTTTTTTTATTTCTGTTTACCTCAATCCAGGGTAAGTATTGTCCCCAAAAAGAGAGGCAACAATGTTCAAAAATACTTATTTCAAGGGCCAGGATAAATAAACTTGGCATAAATTTTCAGATGTAGGCTCTGGGTTTCCAGAGTTAGTGGCAGTGCCAAGAGATAACTTACGGGGCATCAGATCCCCAATAATCTTCATCACTCCCCAGAATGCCATCAAACTAAATAAACTCTCGAAACAGAGGGAGTCCTATTCCTGTGAACATCTAATTTCAAGTTAAGTCCCCTTTCAGCCAGACTGAAACTCTAACGCTGCTTTCATATTGCTGTCTGGGTGCTGCCACTATCCAAAATCCTCCCATAATCCAAGTGCCATTTACTGTTCCTTCTATATTACAGGAAGCCAAGTCAAGTAGAGAGCTTGAATGCCAGAGCTTGAATGCCAGCTCCTGCATCTTTACTCATTATTGGGAGTCCTTATTAAAGCACTAAACCTGGATCTGAAACACTAAACCTGAAACTGCCCTCAGGTGAGTCAGAGATTGCTCAGAGAGCCTGGGAGAGAGCCTGGGGTGCCCATTGCCCCAGGGCCTAGGCTGATACAAGGACTAAGGAAAACAATACCCAGGCAACACATGGCAGGTCTGCCACTGGAGCACCCAGCAAACAGCCTCCTGCTGCATCATTCCTTTTTCTTTTCACCGATTCAACAGCACTGACATTATGAGATTCCCCTTTGTTAGAGTAGAAAAAAAAAAAAAAAAAGGGGGAAAATTGGCTGACTGACAAAATCAGAGCTATAATCACTCCGGGGCTGTATTTTGAAGAAGAGTGTTCATACATCCCAGAGCAAAGGGCTTTTCAATTTTACAAGAGATGATGGGGGGGGGGGGGGGATTCCGCATCATGCACAGAGATCCCAGAGCAGGATCACGGAGAACCCGTGCCCCCTCTTGTCTTCTCAGTGGGTGCAGCTGTGCGCAGAGAGTAAACACCTCTGCTGAGCTCTCCTTCCTTTAAGTTGCACCCCAGCTGCAGAGCTTCTCAGGGAAGAATCCTATTGCCTACTCTGAGTTGCTATAACAACATAGTTGCCAAAATCGCAGGCACCCAGCAGGAGCCAAATAGCTTCTCAGACATGCTGTGCGACTCCTGCTCCTGGCACACCCTCTGTGGCCTGTGAAAGGTCCTGGCTGAGGCAGCCCGGTGCCATCAGAGGAACATGCTAGCTAAGGAGATGGAGAGGGGTTTTAAAAATTGTTGGGCTTCCCACAGACATAGAAGGGCACTGGCCTGTGCTTCAGATCTTCTGAAACGTCCTCTCGCTAATGAGGCAGCAAGTGCTGCCTTGATACAATTGGCAGAACTATGTTGTATCTATTTCATGAACTTGAGCTTTTCCCCTAAATAATGAGTTCACAGCAGTAAAAAGGAATGTTGCCTGGTCCTTAAAAAGTATTACGCTTGTCACCTGGGAGAAAGTAGAAACGAAAACTTCGGATTGAAAGATATAGGAGTGGACAACAGTCAGATCATGGGCGACAACAGAACCCTGACCCCATCCTCTAAAGAGCAACCAGTTCCGGGAGCCAGAACAGAAGCATGGCAGCAACTGGTCTAACTCAGGACCAACCACATATAGTCCCCCAACCAATCAAAGGAAGTGTTCTGTTTTTAAATAGCCCACCTCTAGCTTCTCCAGGCCAACAACCACCAATCAGAGCTTACTAGTACGTAACGATTTCTCTTTTTTTTAAATTGAAAACCTTTTCCACGCTTTGATTATTTATGAGTCTCCACCAAAGGCAAGTGATGGAGGCTGGCTCCTTTGCTTTTGCAAACTGAACAAAACAGCTTCTGTTCTTACTTGGGTGGTTTTTGCTTATATCCATAAGTGTTATTTTTGTTATATCTAGTGTACTAACAAGATCATATTTTATGATTTGCAATGTTAAGGACTGAGGCCTCTGGGTAACCCTAAAATCTACCTAAAATATGCCCTCAGCAAACTTCCAGACTCACCAAAGCCATCACCAACCCCTTCTTCTTTCCCTTTCCCTTCCCCTTCCACCTCATGGCTCCACCCATAACAAAGAATTCCTTACAGTCAGAGTGGCCAACCATCCCAATTATCCCAGAACTGTCCTATTTTTAGCATGGAAAGTCCTATAAGCCAGAAAGACCCTAGTCCTGGACCCCTCAGCTCTCTGCCAGATTCTTCTCTCTCCCCATTCCCATGCCAACTGGTGGGCTCTTCTCCACCTGCCAAGGCTCTGACCAAAGGCCCACCTCTAGAGTTCATGTCTCCGACAGCAGCCTACCTCCTAGGCCCAGGCAGATGGTCACTTCCTCCTTCATGCCTGCCTTGCTACAGCTGGTGTATATTTCTGTACATATCTCAGGGCATAGGAATGACTTGACAATGGTGAGTAGACCCTGTTCCACAGTACATTCTCTGCAGGCAGGTGCTGTATTGTCCTCAGCTTTGTGGTCCCCTCGCTGTCTTCACCACACCAAGTCCATGCTTGTCTGTTTCATGAGTAAATGAACTTGCCGGTGATGAAATGGGTTACCTATTTATTTATTTATTCACTTACTTACTTACTTGTTTAATATAATGGTTTATTATTGGATTACTGAATATTAACAAATTAATTATTTATCAATGAATTATATTGATCTTTACAGAAAAAAAAAGGTCCAAAAGTTCTAGGTTGGTTTGAAATGACAGTAGGTAGATATAGGTGCCTTGCCATAACTGTACGCATTAATCCATTTCAACTACTCAGGTTGTTTACCTCGATCTGGGTGGCGTTGTCCTGTCCGTCGTCCAGCAGCAGGTCTGTGAAGCCTCGGGGCTCCGGGGAGTCTTGGCCCAAGCTGGCTCGGTTGGTGTCCACAGCCTTGAGCAGATCTGTGTTCCTTTTCCACCTGTGGCTGAAGGAATGCGTGTCTACTTCTATCTCCTCTCCTGCTTGCGGGAAGGCCTGCCCAACTTGATATTGCCAGTCTGTTTGAAAGTAAATAAAACAACGAATTACTTCCTTGCTATGAATCATACACATATTAGCAACTGAAGTAGGAAAGCTATCTGCTAGTCATGAAAATAGAGAACTAGCTCATACCAGTGAATCTGTTTAATTGCATTATTTTGAGTTGGTATGCACGTCTCTGAGTAGAATGCAATTTTAGGACACATTATAAGTCGTGACAGTGGTTACTGTGAAGACCCAGTGGAGTCTCTAAAACAGATGTGTAGCCCTAAGGCAAGGTATTTTTATTTCCTTCCCTCCCCACCTTCCACAACACTCTTCATAAACATTCCCCAGTTGCTCTGAGAAGACAAGCTAGAATCCAGACAAAGGAATGAAAACCAAGTGATTCTCAGTCCATTTGAATATAAAAGTCAGACATTATTAACGTGTGAACTAATATTCCTTTCTCATGAGTTATGTTGAACAGCAGAGAGACAACAATCTGTTTGAACAGTTTAAATAATACAAGGAATGGTCTTTGTTTAAATGTGCTAACCTGCTTCGTAGCTCACAAGTCAGACTGGGCTCACTGCCTAACTCATTTAATCAGCAACGCTCTCAGGAGGCATCCCAAATGCCCTCGTTCACTTGTGCTGTTCTTACCTTAGAAACTTGCTGGGCTGGTAAAGGACAGCAGTGAAATGAAATGTAAGGCAAGGGGATCAAATCACAAAGGTGTTTTAAAGCTATCTGCAGGGACAGTCCTTGCTGACCCAGCTCATCCAGCCACTACAGGAGGGGAAATTAGATTTAATCATTAGTTCTAGTCTTTCATTTCTGTAGGTCAGCAGGGGAAGGGATACCACAAGTCTGAGAAATTCAGTTTCCGACTAGGAAGAACAGCCCTCTTCTACACAACTATTACCAAAAGATATGAAATGACAGCCTTTATAACTGGCAGGCTATGGCTTCAAAAAGAGCTTACGAGGGCAGTGATTGAATCATAGCTGTGATGTTCCTCTCAATGCAAGAACATTCCAAGGAACCAAAATGTGTTTAATGTGGCTTATAATACCATTGAATCAGTTACTCAGAACTCTAATAACTTAGGTAAGGCTACTGCTCATCATAGGAAAATAGTCTAAAATATCTCCCTTTCAACTCAAACAAAGGTGATAATTCTTCTTGACAAAGAACTATTCTTTGGTTTCATCGTGAACTTAAAAGATCTCCTACTGCCTGATGTTTTAGTGGATACAGCTAGGAGAGAAACACTGCCATAGGGTGGGTAATGTAGACTTTTCTATGGGCTCATAGAGTGATAGGATTTAAAAGAACCATGGAGAATGAAAATGACCAAGAACTCCAGAAATGCCACAAAAATGTAGCACTATGTTCAATTCATAGAACTGTTGTAAGGCTGCAAAAGCTCATGTACAAAAAGGGTTGATTACTGTCCCCTCCCACCCTCCACTGCAAGAAATGATTCTTTTTTTTTTTAATATTCACTTGAGGATATTTATTGAATTTAGAGAGAAAGTGAGTGGGGAAGAGAGAGAAACATAGATGTGAAAGAGAAACATCCATTGGTTGCCTCTAGTATGCACCCTTATGGGGGATCGAATTTGTAGCAACCTGGGTATGTAATCTGATCAGGAATTAAAACCTCAACCCTCTGGTACATAGGACAACACTCCAGCCAACTGAGCCTCCTAAGCAAGGCAGGAAATGCTTGTTTTTTTTGTTTGTTTGTTTTGTTTGTTTGTTTGTTTGTTTACACTGTTGTTCCCACTAACCATTGGAGAGTGCTCAGTAAATTTTTGTTGAATGAATGAATGAATGAATGAATAAATAGGCCGATGAATTGCTGATAGTTTCTTTGGAGCAAGAATGACAGAACTAGTAGGAATTGTTTCATAAGAAAAACACTGTACAAGGATTCAGGAGACTCAGAGTGGAATTTTTTATTGTTAGGTTTACTGGATATGGGATTTTAGAATAGTTCACAAAACTTCCTGTGCTTTAGTTACCCTATATTTTAAATGGGAATGACAGTATTTTACATGAAGAAGTAGGCAGCTTTTCCTGAGGATATGTAAGACCTATGATTCTAGGCAAAGATACAGAGAGCAGTTTTATTTGCTTTATTTATATATCCTGCCTCATTATTAAAAATATGCGAGTCAGTTTACAACAAAAGTAAGCAATAAAAGTTTTACAACAACCAAATCAGGATTTCCTAGCACAGGGCTCATATTAGCTTCAGGGCTGTGCGTTTGCCTCGTATTAGGTGGGTGGGCATCTGAATACACATAGTCCTGGAGGAGCAACGGAAAACCTACACAGGGTCCTTGCTCTATTGTCAACCTAGACAGAAGTGTAGCAAATGTAATGCAGTTAATGGATTCAACAGTCCTAGATACGAATAAATAATTTTAAAAATCACACAAATGGAGTGGGTCCAAACAGAGAGTTGTTGTTTTTCTTTTCCCTTCTAAAATGTAAATTAGGGAAAATATATCAAAAACTTAAAAGATTTAGATTTTATTAAAATCTTCAAAACAGAATTTCAAAACAACCCTGGGTTTCTTTTAAATTAGTATTGTTATTGGATATTAACTAACTGATATTGATTTTACCACTATCTTTTTAGATGTTTATAGCACAAGACAAAATATAGCCTTTTTCATGATGTCTGTCCAGCCAATAAGTCACACCGGCTCCTGTGGTTCTGGCCCAGGGCAGGGAGCAGGTGCAATCAGCAGCCCTGGAGCAGCTGTGTGCATAGGAATCCCATTTCCCAGCTTCCCTGAGCCCCCTTTCTCATTCTCTCCCTGCTTTTTGACCCAAGAGAAGAAATAAAAGGGAGCATCAAATCTCAGGAACAATAAAGTTCATATTCCCCACTGTGAAGTTAATTAAACAGGAGGCCATTAGACTGAGGTGCTACTAATACTTAGCAAACCCCAACCTAAGCCTGTAAATGCCTCAGGGTTAAGAAATCAAACCTAAAGGCAATCAGTCACAAACAGCCAACTTTGCTTTTCTGAATCCAGCAAATGCTTAAGCTATAGCCAATCAAATGGGTTCTTACTTTGCTTCCCCCTTTTCTCCATAAAAGCCTCTCCCCTTAGCTCCTGTCCTTGGACTGCTCCTAACCCCTTCTGGTTAGGTGTTGTCCCTTGGAATTGAATCTTGCTCAGGTGAACTTAAGTTTTTTAATATGTCAAACATTGTCTTTTAACACTGCTTACTCTGAAGTCTGGGATGCTTCATTAATGTGTCAGACTCCTGTTTTTGCAGTGAATACTCAAATTTTATTATTAAGATTACTGGGAAAGGTAAATTAAGCAACAGGTAGGCCTCCCATATGAAGCAAGAATCAATGGTTACTCTATCACCTACAAAGGTAAGTCTCCGGATACCGGTGTTGTTTTGATGGTGTTTTTAATTTCCAGTGTGTTTTAACATTTTTCTCTCTTGCTTTGCCATTACATCAGCTAATACAATCATTGATTGGTTTGTCTCCATCATGGATGGGCTTACTCCTTCTAAAATTTGCTACCTTAATCTGTGTAAGCTGATAAAAATGGATCATTTGCTGCCTCCAATTGTATTTACAAAAACTAAACATAATTTAAAGAAGGGCCTGAGGGTTTTCTAATGAGAATTTTTTTGAGTTTTAGAGGCTGGCCTCCATGAATTTTCTTTGGTTGCTATCCTCCTATATAATAAAGAGGTAATATGCAAATTGACCATCACTCCAACACACAGATGGCTGCCCCCATGTGGTCAAAGAAGGCTGCCCCCATGTGGACACAAGATGGCCACCACAAAATGGCCAGCAGGAAAGGGTAGTAGGGATGGACCAGGCCTGCAAGGGAGGGAAGTTGGGGGCAATCAGGCCATCAGGGGAGGGCAGTTGGGGGTGACAGGGCCAGCAGGAGAGGACAGTTATGGAGGACCAGGCCTAAAGGGAAGAGCAGTTAGGGACAATTGGGGTGACAGGGGAGCAGTTAGGCATTGATCAGGCTGGCAGGGGAGTAGTTAGGGGCTGCGCAGGCTGGTAGGCAAAAGCAGTTAGGGGCAATCAGGCATGCAGGCAGGCAAGCAGTTGGGAGCCAGCAGTCCTGGATTGTGAAAAGGATGTCCCAGACTGGAGAGGATTAAGGCTGGGCTGAAGGACACACAATCCCTCTCTCCATGCACGCACAAATTTCATGAGACTGGACCTCTAGTTTTAGATATAATTATTTTTCTCTGGTTATGTTACAAATAAGCAAGAATGCCCCATCATGTACAGAGGATGCATTCCTATATGTTCATTATTCAGTAGCACTTGGTTCATCAAGACTGAAGTATAAAATTGGCTTAGATTTTGGTTCCTTTTCAGAATCATTTTTAAAGAAGATAAGTAAAAAATGGATGTTTTACAGAAATAAAGATAGAGAAAAACTGGCAAAACCCATAGCCAAATTATCTACACTGTGAATTATTCCTATACACTTTACAAGTTTTCAAACTCATGAAAATATTTTAAATCACCACCAAAACAAATCATTCAGAAGCAAGATGAACAGTATATGTAACATAATCTATCCCTTCCCAGCTGCAATGAAAACGAACACAACAGGAGGGATCTTTGAATCATCTGTTTGAACAGATTGTATGCTTTCTGTCTACTGTATGTTAATTAAACTACCATTGAAACCCTTCAAAGATAATTTTCTCCAATGTATGGTTGTGAATCATATAACTCAACAATGGTTGCTATGGTTGTGAATCATATATCTCAACAAAGCATTAAATATTCCTAATGACTCCTATTTGGATATACAGAGAGAAAACTTAAGGACATATTTTTTTGTATATAACATATAAGTTTATCTTAACACAGTCTTGAAATATTTTACTTAATTAAAATAGCTGATAAGTTATTACTGAAGAAGTCACTTCATTATAGTTCAAATATACCATTGCTATGAAATCCAATAATGTCTAGCTAATGAGAATAAAATAAACTTACATATATCCT